TTTTTTTTTTTGAAAACAGCGAGATAGGAAATGACAGTAAGAGTAAAGTTTTGCACGCTTATTTTACAGCTTATTTTATCACGTTTCTTCAATCTGTTCTTTTCTTTTCTTTTCTTTTCTTTTCTTTTCTTTTCTTTTCTTTTCTTTTCTTTGTTTAAATAAACTGGTGCTGGTTTTAATTGTACGTAATTGGTAGAGGCGAAAAAGATTGAAGATAACCTTCATTACTTCTTTGGTAAATTTCATGTAGCTGTAAACTTCCACCATCTTGACCATAGTAGATCACAGTGGGACCATTCTAGAAACTTCGTCAACACCATTAAAAAAAAWAAWAATGGGAGGTTCTTATATAGTGCATTTCATAATGTCTCAATTCGCTTTTTTTTACAATTGTGATCAGTAGAGGACTTTACGGGCTGCATATTAAGGTGCAATTAGCAGCACCACCATATCCATCATCATGCATATCATCATCATTATCATCATCATCATCATCATCACGTGCGATCATCGTCACAATCGCCATCGTCAGCACCATCCCCATCACCATGAACATTATTAATATCATCATCATCATTCACAGCTGGCTGCTTCTAGCAATAACAGACCCGAAAACGTGGTATCCGATCATATCTAGACAGCAGAGATATATCAAGCGAATACTGATAACAACGGTAATAAAATAGGCGGCGTCTGGCAAACATCGTTTGGACAAGAGACGACGATCTGATTTTAATTATAACCTGATAACCCCTAAACACTAGATTATCTTTATATTCCTATTTTTTCTTTTCTGCTGTCACTTTAATTTGCATTTCGAAAAATTATCAGTACGTTTTTTCCTAGCATTTTGTTCTGGCGACATGAAATCCAAAAATGTTGTTGCTTCCATTCTAAAAGTTTTCTTTTTCATCATATATAGTTGTTTTCTTAATCATATGTATCTGTTTTCTTATTCAAGAGCGGCGTAGGTTTATTACGGAAGTAGGAAAAAAATGGCAAAAGAGTCTGTCATTTTGCTTTTTTTTTATTACTCCAGTTAAGTGTCGATTCCTAGACCTATTTCCCAAGAAATACAACGAGTAATCAAACTTAGGAATTYGTATTAAACCACGCATAACACATGATCCATCTTAATTTATTAATGCTTATARTCATAATCCGAGTATTCCAACGTTATTTTCATTTTATCTCCTTTTTTGCAGAAGTGTATATATTGACTCAACTTTTCGAGACAAGCTTGTTTGTTGTCAACTTATTTTTGTCGAGTTTTCTGTGGTTTCAGGTTTTTGAAAGTTCTAGAAATCTTCACTTGTCATAATTCAATTACTRCATATTAACAAATAATTTCTTCATTTAGCTATGGCTGCGTGGATACTTCTAAATTTTATATCATGTGTACACCTACTTGCAAGAACGTTGTCATACAATATTGGAACATTAGTAATTTAGTGAGAAAGGAATACATTAAAAGACAAAAGAAAAAGTTCAGCTTCAGTGATCTTCTTTTGTTTTTTTAAAATAATTCSTATCCCACTAAATCACTAATGTTCTATTTTTGTATGACAACGTTCTTGCAAGTAGGTGTATACGGCCGTAATCAGTTTTGTAGAGAGTAAACTGAAGGATCGATATAATGAAACGAGTCAAAAAAAGTGGTAAAATGTACATTTTTAGGCCTAGTTGTATCGAGACTAGTCGCTGGTAGGGGCAGCTTTCCCGATTAAAAAAAAAAAATTTAAAGGAGGGAACAAATTTTGAAAAGAAGTTGGGCAAACAAGCCCCGAATACACACTAAAAAACATATCTAAGTTTTGTCAGGTTTATAGAAAAACAAACCTTACATTTATACCTTAGCAGATTAACCACATTTTATAATAAATTGTCATTCTCGTTCCCAGAGCCTGCGTTGTTGCCAGCCAGCGGAAAGCAACGTGCTAAAGGCTCTGAGGCAATCCAAACGAAAAATWAGATTCTTAGTTTTCCGGTTTTACGAAAAATATATATTCTTCGGTTCAAGATCCCTGTGCCAAACAAATAGCCGTTTATCGATGCACGGTCTGGGAAAGAGAATGAGTATATGGTAAACAAGAACATTTCTTGGGCTGCCTGTGCTCACCCTCGATTGTGTTCAAACAGAGAATAATGCCGATTAAGTAGTTGAGTTAAAAGTGATTAGTATCCGAATTGTGAGGCATTTGGAAATCCTTAATTACTTTGCCGCTCAACTTACCTCTTGCTCCGATACGTCTTGAATCACAGCAGCTAACGAGAAAGAGCACGCGTAGACATTAAGTTGTGGCACGTGATAAACAGCCCCACCTTCAATCAATCACTTTGGGAATCTGTTGACAACCTCTTACATGCGTAATCACATTATACACGGAAACCCTGTAGCATATACCCGCATCGGGCTATTGGGTAATGTCGTGTAGAACTCTAGGTAGGTTTGTGCAATTTTTCCGATTTCTCGAGGAGGAGAAAGGATAAAAGACATACGTGTTTTAAGACTGGTTTGCCACAGGCAATCTAATAATTAAGTGCTCGTGGGCCGGGTAAAGGAAGAAAAACAATATATACGAAGCAAAGGGGTTGAGGGACAGTTAAGTCGGTCTTCAAATACCTCTTTCACTCATGTGCCATCAATTCACCTTCTAGATAAACCCCACTAACGTTTTGTTAAAATAGTTCATAATCCTGACCCCTTGAAAAGTTAAAAGTCGTAAATCTCCCCTTGCATTGCTTTTCTTCCTTTTACTTTCCCAATGCAAGTTTTCCCCTTCTCTCGCTCTCTTCCCTCCTTATTTGCATCCTTGTAATGAATTCTTTATTTCTACAAGTGATGCCAATATGTCAACAGCACAACGACTTTTATCACCTGCGTAGTCGGCCTATAAAAGTCATTTCATATGCCAGGGCTGTTTGATTCACAAGACAATAGCAATTGATAGATTTGTTCGTTTAATCAGTCGGTGCACTTTTCATTTTATAATGGCTCAATCTTAATTATGAAGAAAACGTAGGGAAAGATTATAATATATTCATAGAAATGTCACCGGAAATGTTTTAAGTCAATGTGTTTTATTCTCTACTTAGTTATAGATTTCCTTCTTTAGTTATATATTCCTTTCCTATCATCATCATCATCCTCATCATCACCACCACAACCGCTAACATCATCATAAACAACGTCCAAAGATCACCATCACCATCACCATCATAACCATCATGTATCGTAAAAATCACCATCATCTTTTTTTTCTAAAATAATTTTCACTTCTTTCTCTTTTACTCCGACGAAGGACTAGCGTCCGAAACGTCAGTAAGTTTTTTCATCTTTTCACGGTGTATAATTTACCTTTTTATCATTACTGTTTCATTAGAAACACCGACGCAGCTCACACTAGTTTTTAGCTAGTTATATCTTTTTTTTCTGTTAGCTACTGATCTTTTCATCATCCTAAGCATCATTGCCGTCTGCATCATTATCTAAAGGTTTTTCAATAAGGTGGTAAGCCACCCATTTGTAAGTCGTTTTTTAGTTCTTCTTAAAGGATTTGAGTATCATTTAAAAGCACAAATCAAGACCTACAAAGAGCCATTTGTATGTCAACCTCTCGCCTTAAACTTTAAAATGTATAGCCGTCACGGAATATTAGAGATTTTGGTTTCCCGCACTCGAAATTCATGATTGTCATTACCAAGCCATTTAAGTCATTGAAGGCAGTATGTGTTTTCAAGAGCCATGGTATAAAACGTTTTACGTAAATGTTTGAAGCTTCATCTTTCAAAGGCCGTTTGTATGGCATGATTTTATTTTTGTATTATTTTATTYATGTTAGGAATGTTTAAAAAACGCTTTCGAAATTTACTAGTAACGGAGTTTCAGCCATTTTCTCTGTATTTGAATGATCCGTCACTTATTAGCCTCGCAATGGCTCATTGCACTCTTATTAGGCCTTATATTAGATGCCAAAATCAATTTGACCAAGCATTCTGCGCGATGAGCATGCACTACTGCCGTCATTTTCRTCTTCATAATAACTAAAATTTTTCATTACTCTCTATAATTATAATATTCAGAACATTGTACCGTGTCTGCAAAATATTAATAAAGAAGYGAAAAAGAAAGAAATTTTGAATCAGCAGTACTGCTAAAAATTCACGTTTATTCTCCACTAGTCCTATTTCTCATATTATCAAGTGTTCTCCGACTTTTAATTCCCTACCTAACATATGATCAATCAATCTTCATTTCTCTAGGGCCTCGGAGTTATAAACTTCCCAGCAAGATACGTTCGCAAGCCGTGAAGTCGGATCGAGGAGCGCAACGTCATGGATAACTAACTTAAAGTCAGCTGGACGCCTAAGTTTGTACTTTGATTAACTAGGCCAACTCGGTAGGGAACAGTTGTTCTTGAATACACTAAAAAAACAAGTGAATCCAAGATGCTAGCGACCCTTAGATATCTAAACATGTGGAAAAGAATTGCCTTTTCTGCAACCATGTTGTGGTTTTGTGGSAGCACTTGTGGTCAACTGCCTGAACGCCCCAGCCCGGAACAAATTTCTGGTGAGTGATATTTTTTTTCGTAGTTAATAATAGCACTAATCAAGAAATGGAATACGTATGTGTATATATTTACTAAAGAGGAAGTTAAGAGGAGTTCTAAAAAGAGTAAAATCATAAAAAAAGAAAAGAAAACCATTAAAGTTAGATAAGAATCCTTAATTTTAGTAAGAAGGGGCCTAATGTAATGCCTGAGGAACGCCAGTAAGCTGAACATCAAAATGAATAGAATTTGAATTAGTGAAGTAGAACTAGGAACATTTGTAATATTCAATTCACAATATGAACTTGCAGGTCTAGTTTGGATCAACCTATTCACTCCGCCATCCGGTTTAGGATATTTTATATCTGATTAAGATGAAAGAAGAGTTTGTCGTATCATCTCTTGATATTGATGTGTTTTTCTTGTGTGATCAGTTGGGTCATTAGTTTCTCGAGATAAGATAAAATCATCTTGATCCTCTTTATCTTGTTGTTACTTGGCACAGAATAATGACTCATCTTTATTAGCACAAACTAAAATAGTGGAATGATGTATTAAATAGATAGGAAGACATTTTCACACTTTCGAAAGTTGTCTCGCATTCATACACCTATTCTAATATATGTTCAAAAGGTCATTCCGGCATGGAAATGGTTTCGTTGAATGCTAAGGATTTATGATCAGTCTCAACGCTAAGGTCCATATTCTTGACAAGAATAAGAAGCAGAAAGACAGGGCATTCCAGCTATTATTGGATCTCGAAATGACCTATCCCCTATCGCTTTTTCGCCTGTCGGCGATGACAATTGTTTTTTTAAAATAGGATTATAACAGCCTAAGGGATAATTATTCCTGAATTTACTTCCGTTGTCAACAACTAGTTTACAAGCGGATGACTATATTATATAAGTTTTCGATATGTTTTTTTTTTAAATTGAAAAAGCTCAAATTCTAGTTATTTTTATTACTTGACTGGTTTTAAACAGTCGAAACCTTAAATCCAACAACGATTATGTTGTTTAGGTTTATAAAGTAAATATAATAAAAAAATTTTTTGAAGCATTTCACTTTTTATTTTACTTCTCAAAATGCAACACAAAAAAATAAGTCATTTTCTCATCTGTCATAGTCATCATCATCATAAACACCATTGGCTACGCCATCACTTCTATCGATTATAGAGAATAATGATGACTATATTTGAAATAAAAATTGTTAGTGTAATAAGTGCAGCAGTGAAATCCCAATGATTCAGATCCTATCTTAGAGAAATTCAGCAAATTTGATAGTAAGGAAAAAAAAAAAGATAATACTAAAATAAACTAAAACAAGAATTGTGATTGCTATCGTTGTGTAAAAGGTGTACCAATAACCATAACAATGATTGTTTACAAATGCATTAGTGATAARATAATATTCGAATTTACTCTGCTGATGTTAATAACTTGAGTGTGTACATCCCCCATGCCAGACATGGAATTTTTAATTTGTCAAATGATTTTTTATTGCTTAGCGCACTAATCATGATTAAGTACACGAATAACAACATTAAGTATACACCGAATCGAAATATGGTGATCAATTCAAATAACCTATGTTGTTCTGTAACGGAGTAGCCTCTCGTACACGTGATGAGATGCAAGATATCAAATGAGATGCAGAATTCTTAGCCACGACATTTTGTGGAAAATACTCTTTTAACTTGACTTTGTGCAATACGTATGTCTCTCATATATAATAGAAGATGAATAAGACCAAATAAGATACTTTTTAAGCTTTGCATCTCATTTGATATCTTGCATCTCATTATATATATATATTTATAAATGYATACCGCTGACTACAACCTTTCTGCAATCAAGTGTATATATATTATATATGTATAATAATAATCCAATAATTTTTTTCCTTGACTTTCAGTCGTTTTCATTTGGGTTGAAAATCGTTATTATTCTATTAAGCTATTATTCGTATTCTGTGTCGAGGAAAGACAAACACGTCAAACTAAGTTTAGAAGAATCGCTTGAAGTGTCCAAACAAAGAAAGTTGAGGAATGATGCTACAAAACTTATCAATTTTTCCTTCTCTTTCTTCAAGCTGTAGTAACATAAGATAACAGAAACAAAAGAAGGGCTTACCTTGCAATTTACGCCGTTCTCTTTTCCGTCATCTTACTGTTTGGGGAAAAGCGCGGCAAAGTGGTAAAGTTGAGAGGGGACTAGGTTATAACCCATGCAGACGCTAAATTGTTGTAATATATTGTATAGGCTCTATATCTGAAAAATATAACAGTGCATTGTAGCCAATGTTGTATAAAAAATCATGTCAAATGGATATAGGTGCATTAAAGTATTTGTTCCGCAGCTTCTGTATGTTCTGCAGGTTCCGTTCTGTGGTCCGTCAATACACAGTTAACCAACACCCTTTATAGAGCTCGAAAATCGAATTGGGATGCTTAATTTTTTGAGAATTTTCAACACCTTGCTGAAATTTTGAAAYGAGAGGCGGCTTAAAATAGGTAAAACAATATCAATTTTTAATTTTCTATTTTCACTTTTCCCTTTTCCTAGCAATTTGTGGAAAACCAATTGGCCTATCAAACGGCAAAATCCCAGACTCAAGCCTGACAGCACTTTCAGTATTCGACGATGATTTCTCTAACTACGGAGCTCATAGAGCACGTCTCCACCTAAACAAGTGGCCCCCCGGATACAGAGCTGATCCTAAAGCTACGAACAACACGTGGATAAAGGTGGACTTCGGGGAGCCATGGGTGATAACAGGGATAGCAACACAAGGATATGGGGGAAACACAACAGAGGAATGGCTGACGGAGTATATGTTGATGACTTCAACGGGAAGTGATTATTCACCCATAAGAGCCCTCAATTACTCGAGAATGGTATGGTTATTATAATTATTCTGGTCTTTCGCAGGCGGCGCATGCGCAACAGGCAATTATGATTTATGATTTATTTAGGGCCATTATTTCATATGAATATGATAAAAGGGGCGTTACAATGATTTATGGTTTTCCTTGCGAATGTAACCATATTCTTAGTTAAATAGAAAGCTCTTCTAAATTAAAACAAGGATGGAATTTTAGCACTTGGGTTAAATTTTAAGATGTTGTTCGCATTTTTTTTTTAGTAAATTGAAAAAACATTGAGACTCGAAAAAACTAGTTAATCTATCAAGCAACAATCTGTCTAAATTAATTCAATAATTTATTCATATTTGAAAGACTTCTAATCAATAGTCCCCTTCACAATCCCCTGCGCCGTTTTGAAAGTTAGCCGTGCCTTTGCATCGAAGCGAGACGAACGGTGAGCTTGCAATGATAGAGACATGCGAATAATTGTCCAAGGGGTCTCTATCTTTGCAAGCTTATCGTTCTTCTCGCTTCGATGCAATGGCACGGCTACCTTTCAAAATGGCTCAGGGAATTGTGAAAGGGACTATTGCGTTGGTTTGGGAGGTAGGGTTGTGGGAATATCTTTTTTATCATTCTAACTTTCCTTTCGTCCTTTCTTTTCAAGATTTTCACTGGTAATAAAGATAGAACTTCGGTGAAGTTCAACGCCATCCCCATACCTGTCCTCGCCACGTCTCTTACTCTTTACCCTCTGAAATGGCATAACAATATTGGATTAAGAATGGAACTATATGGCTGTAAACCTGGTAAGCGGTTTCAGGATATCACGGTATAACATATATTTCAGGATATCACGTTATAATATATATATGTATTATAACGTGGTCTATAATTGGCTGAACATGAGGGGGGGGGGGGGAGGCTTGTCTCTGGGGATCATTTTTTAAAGTGAGGTGGGCTAATCTCTGGTTTTCTTCGCAACAGAGCTTCAACTAGAAACTAAAAGAAAATAATCAAAAATACATAAAATTCATAGATAAATGACAAAGATGTTAAGATTTTGTCAATAACTTCTTCATAATTGTATAGGATATCACATTCAGGCTATGGTGTCACCTCTTGGCTTTCACTTCACCAAATCTTACCTGGATCCCAGCAATGTCGATTACGTTAACTTGGCAATTGATATTCAAAATGAGGTGAGATTCCTTGTATTAATAGATAGTGTTGTGAATGGGGTTTAACAGTTAACTGACAATTGGTTAAAAAATTAAATAATTTGTCAGGAAACTACTAAGAATAGCGCAGAGCGCTGATTCTAAAAATAGCTCAAAGATTCGGACAAACATTGCATTCTGTTTAGCCTCTACGAGGATTATACGTACCGATTTTATTATTTTTACTTAAAGTTACAATAATAACCCATGTAGACTAAGATCAACTGCGATCGGCTGTGAAAATTATCTGCTGAAAGTAAACTTGTAAGTTTGTTTGTCCGAATTTCGTCTTTGACTTCGTTTTTATGACGTCAGGGCTGTGCTGCGCTATTAGCATTTGGGCTCAATTCCCGCCAAGGGCATTTGATAAATTTCTCTTATTGTCTCTACTAAGAATTAATAATAATAAACAATATTTATTCAGGAATGCCTAAGTTGTGAACATAGGGCTCTGGCGTGACTCAAAGTAATCTGGCGTGATTCAAAAGTCACGAATCACGCCAGATTCCTTTGTTCACAACTTAAGCCTCACATCGGTGGGAGTTTTGAATTTGGTCTATAGTTAAATGATATTTCATTATTTTGGTAAATATTATGGCCAAGTTGAGTATTTTGCCCTCTTGAACTTGAAAACGTGTGTGTTTCTTCAATAAAATCTTGTAAATTACTCAGCGGTATTTAGCGCGCGCTCCAATCGAACGTTCAAAAGTAGGCAGTCACTCAGTGGCGGATCCAGGTTTGGGGGGGGGTTCATTTTATTTTGATAGAGAATATGTTGGACAAATGTTTGAATGCTTATTGTATAGAGTGGA